CCGCGTTTGAAGCCCTCTCCAGAAATACTTCACTTGCTCTTAAAATGTGATGCTGGGACAAAAAAAGGGAAGCAACAAAAGTAATAACGATTTTTTTGTGTGTGTAGACGACAGTTCTATCAGTGAGGCATGAAACAAATATTTTCAGTTTGGATTAGCCGAGATTACAATCGCAGGTTGTTTTTTATTATTGGTATTATTTATTATTATTATGATTTTTTTTTTTTTAACAGTAGTTTTCAGAGGGGTAAGGAACAGTCACTTGGGCCTGATTCTTACCACAAATAGTGAAAAATGCTTGAAAAAAAGTTTAGACGTGCCTATGTATGCCATCATATGGCAGCGAAGCACTACTTCTTGATTAACAGCTTGATGCCGCTTCACCATGTTTACTTCGAAACCTGGGCTCCATCACCGCGCAGACCTCAGAGGCCGACTGGGTTTCCATTTATTTAGCATTTCTTTCATTTCTATTCAGGATCGGAATCATGCTGTGATTTTTAGAGCAGCAGCAGAATTTTTAAAACGTATTCCGCATCTGATTGGGGAGCCAGTGTAAAGCCTGCTTTGGAAATTAAGTTGAGTTGGCACTTGAGTCAAGTAATATGCTCTGATCTCTTTGTTCTGGTCAGAACCTGAGCTGCAGAGTGCTGAATGAGCTGCACATGTTTGATGCCCTCTTGAGCGAGTCCACCGAGAAGGCCATTTGAATCATCGAGTCTACTGGAGATAAAAGCTTGAATAAGCTTCTCCTGGTCTGCTCGGAGTAGCCGGCCTTTCAGTCTCGAGATGTTTTTCAGATGGGAAAAGGATATTGATTCGATATGATTGCTGAAAGCCAGATCAAGTCTAACAGCACCCCAAGGTTTGGGACTTGGTCTTTGGTTTTGAAGAGACAGTGACTCCAAGTGTTTACAAACAGCAGGACAGTGAGCTGCTTCACCCCTCTCCCCCCTCGAATGCTTTTATTTGCTCACTGGCTCCTCATTCTTTGTTTTTGCTTCTCGTCTTTTCGTTTCTTGGTCGTCTCCTTGGCTAACCAACCCCCACCCCCAGAAACCCCCCGCCTCCCACCCTGACTTCCTGTGCGGAGATCACAAGCTGACAGGGTCGCGCCCACCCCGCCCTTTTTTTTTTCTAGTTCCTGGAACTCTGCACTCACAGAGCGAGACCCCTCCTCTCGCAGTCCAGTGGTCCTCATAAGGTCTTACATGCTAACTGAACCCCCCCCCCCCCCCCCCAACCACCCCCGCCTCCCCCCCAAGCGACGAACACCCCCCTAATCCCACCCCACCATGGCCTCCACCCCAACTGCCTCGTCGAAGTGGGATTTGTAGAAGGTTCCCATTCCTGCCTTTTCTGAGTGAGCGCGGTTGGAGTCCAGATGACTTCTTAATATTAGCGTGTTGGATGTTTTATTCCCCCCACCCCCGTTTTTTTTTTTTTTATCCTGTTCCACTAAATTCTCCGCCCAACAGGGGTGCTCCAGATTAGGTCAAAACAAACCTTGAGGAATTATTGGCTAATCCTTCCTGTGGTTGCGGCCTCTCAGGCTGCCCCGTGTTAACTCCTGACAAGGACAAAAGACGTTTTTGGAACAAGCTGTTGTTTTTTGCGAGTTTTTGGCAAGACGATCCCACCCAAGCAAAGACGATTCTCATGCAAACACATTGCTAGTGTTGTTGTTTCACATTTTGGGTGTCTGGGTTGTCACAACAACAACAACAACAAAAATGGCTCCCTTTTCAAAAGTTCTGCTTTTCTCCTTTCGAAATGTGCGTTTTTCGTTTGCATACGTCAAAAGCGCAGTTGAGCACGCATGCCGCCATCTTCAAACGTCAGTCTTTGGACGAGCGAACCGGAGGACGTTTTTTGTTTTAGCTGGCGGCGTAACAGCAGTGCTTGTTTTGTCACAGTGCGGGGCGCAGTTTTCGCCATCCTGACAGTTTCCCAAGCTGACCCCCTGTTGTGTTTTCCTCTTCGGTTTCACGACCTGGGCCTTGGACTTGCGGCTGTGTTCGGAATCTTGCTTCTTTACGAGCTTTGTGAGCTTCAGGGATGATCCATTTGAAACGTTTACTTTTTTTTTAGTTTGACACATGGACGCAAAAACTGGTTTGAAGTGTCAACAGTGAAATGCTAACCAAAACAGCAGCAACTACTGTGGCAGTCAGCAGTTTGTCGAATGAATCAAAGTGTTCTCATCTGAAATGCGATTCAATTCAAAATGTTCTTTTTGCCCGCCAGAGTGACTCCAACAATAAAAATCTGAATGGATAAGAAATGAAACTGTTTTTTAGAAATATAAATATATTTTTTAAATAAACATTTTAGACAAAACAATCAAGTCTTGCATATTAGTTACTACGTTATCACGATGTAATTACTAATTATGTTTCAGGGTCATGGAAAGAGAACTGTTTGAAGTGCAAGGATGTTTGTCAGTTGGGGGGGAGTAGGTGTGGCACGGAGAGGCCTTTACCTTTGTTTAGAAGCACAGAGGGGGCTCTGTCCCCCTCACAATGGGACTAGAGGGACACTAGTGTGTGAGTGTGTACGTGTGTGTGCGTGCGTATTTGTGTGCGTGTCTTTGGGTGGGGTGACGCAACCAGTCACACCCCGTAGCCGATTGGTCGAGGACACGCCTCAGTGTGGAATCCACCAGAGCCAAGTCACATGACAAACACTCTTCAACAGGCGAGCCCGCAGAAGCCCTGAACGATTTTATGGGGGAAGGGGGTTAGGGGCGTTCCATGACAATTTGTAGGCATGTCAATCATGCTTGGACCCACCAAAAGCCGTTCCTGAAAATAAACAGGACGTTTGCCATTTTGTTTTGTTTTTTTTCCCACGTCGTAGGCAGGTCTGAACCATGGAGCATTTTGGGATCGAGATGGACGGGAAAGACCAGAAAAAGTGCTCAGGTGCACGGGTCACTTTTCACAGAAATCTGGCAACTGGAGCTACTAACAGCAATTTTTTTTTCAATCAATATAGATTTTTCTAAGGGACTGTATGTTTTTGTCTGTGCCTTTCACAGGAACGACTGCAAATTTGACACTTTGACACGCAGCATTACTGTCCGAGGATCGTGATGTCAATTTCAGCCTATCGCTCTCAGCCCTCAGCCACGTACAAAGGTGCACGCTTGGACCATTTGGGGTATTTAATTGAGCCCCTGAAGCTGGTTTCACTTTGCACCACGAAATTTGGGAGTCTATCTTGAGAAGACCCACAAAAAGGTGTCATGAAGCATGCCTGAAAACACAGAGAGGCTGTCATTTCCAGATCGGTGGCGCACTGGAATCCTTCTGAAATATTCAGCCCCCAAAATGTAAAATTTGGTGGCAGGTCTATCACGAGAAGAGGGCCCACAAAAAAAATCTCAAAAACCCATGCCTGAAAAGAGACAGCCGGTCTACCATTTTGGGTTGAAAATTGCCACTGCTGAGTCATTTTGTCCATTTCAAAGAGTCCGTCAAAGACAAACTCCCTCAAACTCGAGATAGTGTTGAATATTTGCTAAATCTGAACCGTATCTACGAACCAGATGTGTGCCGCTAACTTTCGAAGGGTTTGCATTTTCACTTGAGTGTGTCTCTCTCTGGCGCATGTTAGCGAAGTTTGACTTGGGTAACTTTACGACGCAAAGCTTTTTCTCCCGCATTGAGACGAGCCGCAGCTCTCCATTACAACACAGCTCGCATTTCAGCACGTCAATAATTTAAGAGACGACGACTTGTTTGAGTCCCAGGGCTGTGTGACTCTAGTTAGTATTTAATGTGCCTTTACTAGAGGGCCAAGGCACTTTATGAGCCTTTTATTTTACGGCTTCTGTGTATACAACGTTGAGGCGCGTTGTGTCCTTTCAACTGCTTTTGTTTGGCCTCAAAGAGGATGAGGATGACGTGTAACCCTATGTAACTTCCTCAGCCACACCCCGCAAGAAATTTGTCAGGTAATTGACTTAATTAGTGCAGCCAAGTCCAAATCAACCTAGTACCCCCCCCCCCCCAAAATCTAACTTTACAGTCAGCGTGTGGACTAACCTTTGCGTTGACGTGGCTGCTGTAGAGTGCCTCGTTGCTGGCCTCGAGAGTGCGTGCTTTACCCAGAGCGGCAATCCGATAAGGCGTTCCCTCCCTGAATAGCAGAAGAAACGGAAGGGTTAACCAGACATGTTGAGAAATCATTTTTGCGTGTTAATGTCCAAACTGTGCTTCATGTAAAGTTTTTGCATCATTTTTGGGAATCAAACCGCTGTTATTTTTGATGAATACTTTGGCCTACTGCGTTACGTAGTGACTTTGAACTCAGTATTGCTCCTCGTCTTGTGAATTGTGCCCTACTTCGAGTCCTCTGACAACTTGTTTCCACGTGAGGGGGCATGGAGAGGCTTTTACCTTTCTTTAAAAGCCAACTCCCCTTGATGAACACTTAGGCCTACTACGCTACTGTTATGAGTGACTTTTTTTTTCTCTTTTTTGTTTTGGGCGGTGGAACTTGGTGTTGCACGACTTCTGAATGGTCAAGTGTGTTGTTGTGAATATTAGAGGAAGTTCTTTGAGGAAATGGTTTGTTTATCAGAAGGTGAGACTCTTGTAAATGCGTGTGGACCGAAAAGGCCTCGCCACACCTCATTGTGTGTGTGTGTGTATGTGTGTGCGCGCTTCCAGAAAAGGGTGTGTCCGCCTGCCTGGCTGAAAGGGAGGGAGGGGCGACTCCTCCCTGCTTCCCCCCTCCCACCCTTGCTCTCATTCTTTGGCTTGTTATTCCTCACCGGCTCCTCATTCCCTCAGTTGGAAGCCTCGACATTAGGCCTCCTTTTTTTCCTCCCCCTTCTCTCGCTCTCTCCTTTTTTTTTTTTTTTTTACTTTTTTTTTAATATACTTTCTCTGCCTTTATCAAAGTGAGTTAAATGTTCATTTCCTACCCTGTCCTCAACTTTTCTACCTTCCCCCTTTGACCATGACACCATCTTCTTCTTCTTCTTCTGTCAGAGGAGGAGCGGTGCCCAAAAGAAGAAGAAGAAGCCGTCGGTCACCGCCCTGACGCAGGAGGCCACGCCGCCCTCGCCGGCCAAGGAGGAAGAAGAGGAGGAAGAGGAAGAGGAGGCGCCAGACATGCCCTCAGTCCAGATCAAAGCTGAGCCAGAGGAGATGGAGTGCACGGTGAGGAGGAGGAAGAGGCGTGGGTGTGGCCAGGTGGTCCATCTAGCTGCTAGTATCGAGTGGTTGGCGTTGAGCAATTAGCATCTAGCCCTTAGCATCAAGCGGGTAGAATGTGGCAAGTGTGCGGCAGTTTTAGTGTTGACTGTTTTTACTTCATTGTTGTAGCTGTTTGGTAGTTATTTGTCTTACATGTGATTTTCATTGCATCACTTAGTTTCAGCTGTAGTTGCAAAAAATAATAATAATTCAGTTCAAATGGGTTGGCACCTAGCAGTTAGCATAGCTAGCAGTTAGCATGAAGTGGAGGGAATCAAGTGGATAGGAGCATTTATTGGTTAGCATCCTGTGGCTAGCATCTCGAAGGTTCACAACCAGTAGTTAGTACGTACTGGTTCACCTGTGTTCGCTAGAATCCACCGGTGAGTGGTTAACATCAGGCGAATAGGAAGTAGCATCTAGCGGTTAGCATTGAGAGCACGGCTGTTAAACTCAAGGCGAGTGGATAGGATAGAGCAGGTGACTTCTAGTGGTCGGCATCTAGCAGTTAATATCCCGCGGTTAGCCTCAATCAGATGGAATCAAGTGGCAAGGACAACAGTGAGCGTCTTGCAATTAATCTTGAACAGTTAGCATCTCGTAGTTAGCATCCAGCAGATGGATGCAAGTGTATATAATCTATTGAATAGGATGTAGCAGTTGCCATCCAGCCATTCGCCCCTAGCAGTTAGCATCAATGTAGCAGAATCAAGCGGTTAATCAAGTGGGCCGCATCGAGCCGCTAGCGTCAAACGGATAACATTTAGAGAGACGCTTCTTCCAGAGATTCCGCAAACGGTGGTGCGCGAGATGAAAAGTGCCGACGCTTGTGACGGAATGTGAGAATGCGGGATGAAGACGCCCAGCTATGTTCTGATGGCGAGATAAGTACACAAGGAAGTCGGATGATGTTTGCTTTGCATCATCATCCCAGTGCCGAGTTTTTCCCAGATGTTTTTTTTTTTCCCTGCTAATGATGCACAGACACAAAGTTGATCTGGCAATTTTCTGCCTTCTGAGATATAGCTGCGGTCCCCCTTTTTATGTTGGCCTCTACAAGCTGGCATTTTCCTGCCTTTTTGTTCTATATAAAAGGACCTGATGTGATATGAAGGGACAGAGCCAAGGCAGCAATTTTCTGGCTTCAGAGGTAGTATTAGGACCGTAGCAAACCCTGCACGGCGCCTGCAACCACTTTCGCGCTGCCAGTGTGGCGCTTCCTCATTCGGTATTGCTCCTCTGTATAAACAGCAGCAATACAGAACGAGGGGCCAAATTTGGCAATTTTCCAATTTCTGAGGTAGAATCAAAGCGTGACGGAGTGTAAATGGTATTCTGTGATACAAGCACGGTATGGTAAGGTTGACTTTTGGTGAAGTATAATTATCCAGGCGGTGGCAATTCCGCCTCACAGTACAGAGTAACCAGGCGGTGGCCTTCCTGTGTGGAGTTTGCCATGTTCTCCCCGTGCCTGCGAGGGTTTTCTCGGGGTACTCCGGTTTCCTCCCATATTCCACAAACTTGCATGCTCAGTTAATTGAGCACTTCAAATTGTCTAAGTGTGTTGTGGGCTGAATGGTTGTTGTTCATCTAGGCGTGCCCTGCGATCGGCTGGCAACCAGTTCAGGGTGTACGCCGCCTGCTGCCCCAAGACAGCTGGGATAGGCTCCAGCAGCGACCCAGCATAATGGTCTCAGAAAATGGATGGACGGATACTTATCTTGGATGAAAAGTTCATCTTGTGGAAAATGTAATGACACTTTTACCCAAAGACAAACGCTCCTTTGTACCCCGGCGCGTAGCGATTTTAAACCGAAGAGTTCCCCAAGGCTCAACACTCAGACCCCTTTCATTTCCATCCAGTCACAATCACATGATACTGTCAAGGCTCAGTCAGTCAGCGAACGCATCATCTGACAGGGTAAGCGTGGCCCAAGTTACGTATGAACCCAAAAGATGATGACCCTCATGTCCAAAGGCCCGCAAATCGACCGCCCGGTTAAAGCAAACGTCGGGTTCAAAGTTCACTCTGCGGGCCTAGCCGTCAATGCCACCAGGCTCTTACTTCCTCCTCCGCCACCATTCTTCTTCTAAAAAGTCCTTGCCTTTAATAGGATGTGTCGAGGGGAGCGGTCAAACTGCGCTTCCGCCCGGTGTAACCGTGGCAACCGCGGCAGCTACGGCGGGAGTTGCCCAAAAAGACTCCCAGACCCTCCCCCGTTCCCACCCCACCTCCCTCCGCCACCTTTTTTCCACTTCAGCCAACAGCGCGCGCACACACACACACACACACACACACACACACACACACACACACACACACACACACACACACACACACACACACACACACACACACAAGCTACCAGCATAGCAAATTGAATAGCTCCGTAATCTCTCTCTCTCTGGCATACACACTCGCACAAACAAGGCCTTGTGTGTGTGTGTGTGTGTGTGTGTGTGTGTGCACATAAACAAGTCTGTTGTCCTCCAGCAAACAAGAGTAGTCATGCACAACGTCGGCAACACACACACACACACACACACACACACACACACACACACACACACACACACACACACACACACACACACGTGTTTGTGTCATGAGAGGTTAGCAGCCTCGCACTTGAGCCAGGAGGCTTTTTTGCTTGTGTGTGTGTGTGTGAGACAAATCAGCAAAAGGACACAACATGCACAATTTTTTTTTTTTTTGGGGGGGGGGGTAATGGGAAAGGCGCGGCAGCAAATGTGGCTACGCCTAAGCTGGTGCGGGCTGATGATGTCATCACTTACAGATGGTACATTCGGGACCAATGGGAGATTTCAGATCTCCCAAGGAGGAGAAGGCACATGGGAAAGACATCCCGATTGATTTTTACCACTAAAAAACAGCAAACCCAGCGATGATGGCCATGTTTTTATGAATGGCGGCACATTTTTTGTGCAAAATGCTTCTGAACTCTTGCTACAGTGATCCCCCCCATCCATCGATCTATCCAAACAAAAAAAAAAGATTTTTTTGGGGCGTTTCAAATTTGTCCCTCCAAATGTTGTGAGTTCCTTTGGAGGGTGGCTCAAACCACAAACAGTTTTGGACTGTAGTTTTTTTGTGATTAAAAATAGAATTAAATGGAAACAAAAAGTCAGGACAATACAAGCTTTTCATCAGACAATATTGTCATCATGAAACAAAAACATTTGTCAATGTTTTGTTGTTTTTCCCGGTTGCTACGCAGAAATACGTGTTTCACTTTACCAGATAATAATATCCATGGCAAAAATTAAAATAAGACAAAGCATGAACTGTATTTCTGAATTTTGTCAGAAACAACCGATAATACAACACCCCCTTGCCAATTTTTTTATTTTTTTCATCCAGGCCACTTTTTCGGGTGCGTTTTCTTGTGATTACAAAATGACATGGTGTGGAGTGATGACTTGGCTTTGAACCGCCTCACTCGCTAACAAGCCCGGGCATGCCACCTGCGGGGTCTCAGAGTTGAAACTGCAGTCCATCACATTTAGCAGAACAAACCATGTGACAGATAAGGAGGAAATTAACATTTGCCAACCACTAATCTTAACGAGGCCGGCTGATTTTTACACTCGCAACAACAAATCTAACAGCGTTTCTCACATTTGTACGAATTATGGTGTGGTTTTAGTGCAAAATGCAACAAAATGTCTTTATGCCACAGATTTCATCCTGTGGATGGTACAGCATTTTTTTTTTTTTTGTAGCAAGAATGTAGCAGGCCTGTCCACTGAATTTGCACCATAATTAGTAAAAAATGTGACAAAACTTGTCGGACGTTGATGCAATGTGGTAGTGACTAATGGAGGTCATTTAGTGCAGCGCGGACCTCCACTATCATTTGGAATAAAATGGATACCAAGAATTTTGTTGGATTTTCCATAAAAATGACACCGATTTGTGGAATTAGTTTTTATTTTGTTTATTTTATTTTTTAATTTTATCTTCTTTGTTTGTCTGCGACCATGGCTTGTCACTCAGCTGAGTGGAGACCTCAGCCAAGGTTGAACAGTAACAAAAAGAGTGGAAAACAAAAATTGCTGCGTGGATTTAGTCGGTTCTCGCACAAGTTTGCATCCGAAACATAAAAACTGTTCCAAAAATGATTTGATTTGTTGTTTTAGCAATGCTACAAAGGCCGTTGGGTGTCACTCAGTTGAACTGTTGACAAAAAAAAAAAATTAAACAAATCTCGATGACACAAATTTCATACAATCTTGCACAAAATTTGCAATTTGTTATAAATGGTACAAAAAAATTCAATTTGTTATTTTAGAATTTTGTACCAAAAAAACATGACAAAAAAAAAGTTAAAATCTGTGACACTGTGGATAAAAGAGAATAGGGAAAAATTGAGTCGGACTTTGCACAAGAATTGCACCACAAATAGTCAAAATGTGACCCAAAAAATGTCGATTCCTTCTTTCCTCGCTGCATAGTTTGAGCCCGAAAGTGTTCTTCCCGAGGCGTAGTCGTTGACTTTGAGCCGTCACTAAGCAGCATCAACAGCGCTAATGCTGGATTAGGTAACGTCAGGGTGTGGCTAGCGGGCTACGCTAACAGGTGGGCGAGGCAGGCGGCGGGTGGGCGTACGCCAGGGAGGGGCGGCCTGCTGGCATCTTTTGTGGTTTTCTATCCAAGCCAGCTGTTGTTTTTGCTCACACTGTTTTTCCCTTCTGATACCCGAGCGTAACGGCCGCGCCGCTCGGCTGCACAACACGTTGATGAAAATGAACAGACGCGCAATGTTTTCCCTCTCTCTCAACTCGTGGCCTATCGGTTGGTGCCCCGAGCAGCAAAGATGACAAGGAAGCAAAAGCGAATGCAATTCAGTGAGGTATTTTGGAAAATATGTATATTAAAATGAAAAAAAAATTGAACAAGAAACCTAAAACAGACACTGGAAAAAAATATGAAAAGAAAAACTTTGTAAATTATGTAATTAATAATGATAATAAGCATGATCATCATCATAAATAATCATGATCACATGCTTAAAATTAAAATGCAAATAAAATAATTTAAATCTGTTAAATATTTCCTCTTAATAGAATAATGTGGCGTAAAAAAAACAAACAAATAAATACATAAAGCATTGTAATCAATTAAAGTCTGTACTCATTATATGCATGCATGCATGCAAAAAAAAAAAAATAATAAAAAAAAATAAAAAAATCGAATAAAGCATGTCTTTCTGTACTGTGCGTATTGGCCAATCAGACAAAAAGTGGGCGATCTTCAAGAGACAGGAGCCCAAATGTTCACTGCGTGAAAGTGTATCCTGCCTTTGCAGGGTCTCGGTGTAAAAACTGATCAGTTCCACATTTCCGTCTGTGGCCGGCGTGGAGCGATTGCAAGGCGAGGACATGGTTGACCCACTTTCTTAATCGCGTGCCACAAAATGGCAGCAAAGCAAAACCTACATGGGCGGGGAAGGGTGTGGTTGGCGCAGCCGAGCGGGAGACTGAGGGAGAGGGGTGAGAAAGGTGAGCGAGGACGGACGAGGGTGTCGCCGGGGAAGGGAAAGGAGTGCCACAACATGGAGGCGGCTGATAGCTCCCCAGTTTCCATGACAACGCGAGGCCCTTTTTTTTCCCGCCCACACTTCCCCCTTCGTCTTCTTTCACCACCACACCTCTTTCCTCTTCTATCGGCATCCTCAACTTATGAAAAGGAGGGAACATTTTTTTTTTTTGTGCCCAGCCCTCCGGTTGTCCCGCGTCACCCGATCTAAAAGGGCCAAGTTGAGGCCTCGCCCTGGCCCTCGCCCAGAGCCAAGCCACACTCAACTGAACTGGAGTGGGGCCAGCTTCTTCTTCTTCTGCTGCTGCTGCTCCTTTTTCTAGTCTACACCCCCCCGCCCCCCCCCTCAGCCTGTTTTCTGGTTGCATCCCACACAGCGGGCCAGTGTTTCCCTGCGAGCGACATGCGGGAAACGCAGGCCTCGCCAGCCGGGGAAAGTCTCTGTTAGGATTCGGCTCCTCGTCGATGTTAAAAGTGACGCCATGTCGTCATGTGCCGGGAAAGCAGTCAGAATCTTAGCAGAAGATTGGAATACAGAGAAACACAAGACAATGCTATGATACGATTTTTTAATCTTAAGAAAATAAGACGAACTATTGTAACTAATAAGACAAACGTTGAGGGTAAAAATTATCAGTGTATTCTTTTCTGAAAAAAAAAATGCAAGAATGAAGTTACTTTTGTTCAAGAAAATGTGCCCAAAATTTCGATAAAGCACTCATCATTTATGAGAATAATAAAGGAAAGAGTTCGAATGCAAAAAGAAGTTTGATACTTTGGGAAAAAAATGTGACAAAAAGGAAGTCGTTTTCAGAAAAAAAAATGTGGCCATTTTTTCCATAATCTTACAAGAATGAAATGGAATTCTAATACAAAATATTGATGACAAATACCAAAAATAGTTGGGATATGGTAATAGTTTTTTTTTCCTTCTCAAGAAAAAAAAGTCAATAGTTTTGCCCAAAAAGTGACATTAGCAAAAAAAAATGCATGATAACATTCCAAGAATAAAGTGTTATTTTTCAAGATAAAATGTTTTTTTCAGGCCGGGAGTGGTGCGGATTAAAAGGAAGAGTTGAAAAAAAATCCCCGTGCACATGCGCGATGTCTTGAAATTAATAGTT